GATAAAACTGCGTGGTTCAGGTCTTGAGAGAGCGCCAGCTATCCTGAGGGAAACTTCGGAGGGAACCAGCTACTAGATGGTTCGATTAGTTTTTTGCCCCTATACCCAGGTTGGACTACCGATTTGCACGTCACGACCACTATGGACCTCCACCAGAGTTTCCTCTGGCTTCACCCTGTCCAGGCATAGTTCTCCATCTTTCAGGTTCTAACATGTGCGCTCGTGCTCCACCTCCCCAGCGTGGTGGGTGAGACGGGCCAGAGGTGTGCCCTTGGCGGACTGGAGAGGCCTCGGAATCCCACCTCTGGCCGGCGGTGAGCAGCGGCGACGGGCGCCACCGCGGCCTCCAGCCCTTCACCTTCATTGCACCACAGCGGCTTTCGTGCGAGCCCCCAACTCGCGCAGGTGTTAGACTCCTTGGTCCGTGTTTCAAGACTGGTCAGGTGGGTAGCTGACATTGCCGCCAACCCCGTGCACGCACTTTGCTTAGTGACGTGGCACCTGGAAACATCCCCCGAGCCCACCTAGGTCACACTGGGGACAGTCCGCCCTGCCGACCCCGCACCCGACCCACCCCACCTCGGGAAGAGGCATGGCGGGGACAGGTGGGGGCAGTGGAGGAGCGGTAGTGCCATAGGAGGGGCAGCCTGGCCCCCCCAAGAGACACTGGCGTGCCCCCATGGGGGATGCCTCCCCTCGTGGGGGGGGGCCTCTGCATGGGGGTGGGTGCCAGGTGGGAGAGCACGGTGATGGGTCCTGGGCTCCCTCGGCCCTGGGACTTGGTGAGCATGCTGCAGCCACGGGGCTGTAACACTCGGGAAGGGTTGGCTCCGCTGCCCCACGAGGGCCTTCCCAGCTGTCCCGGAGCTGGTTGTGGTGCACCGCTGATGGTGGAGGTGCGCCTGGCAGCGGCCAGTCGCCAGCCGGGGGGCGATCCCCCACCTTCCCCACCCCCACACCCGTCGTAGTGCCCCTCCCTGAGGAAGGGGGTCGTGGTGGGGGAGGGAGGACGGGTAGATGGGCCAGGAGGAATGGGGGGTGGGAAAGATCCACCGGGAGACCACCAACACAGCCGGATGTGCTGTTGGGTTGAATCCTCTGGGCAAACTGCGTGGACACCACCCGTTTACCTCTTAATGGTTTCATGCCCTCTGAACTCTCTCTTCAAAGTTCTTTTCAACTTTCCCTTACGGTACTTGTTGACTATTGGTCTCGTGCTGGTATTTAGCCTTAGATGGAGTTTACCACCTGCTTTGGGCTGCATTCCCAAGCAACCCAACTCTGGGAAGACCTGGGCCTGGTGCGCCGGGGGCCACTACTGGCCTCACACTGTCCATGGGCTGGGCCTCGATCAGAAGGACTTGGGCCCCCCACGAACGACGCCGGGGAGTGGGTCTTCCATATGCCACATGTCCCACGCTCCACCGCGGGGCGGGGATTCAGTATTGAGCTTTTCCCTGTTCACTCGCTGTTACTGAGGGAATTCTGGTTAGTTTCTTTTCCTACACTGACTAATATGCTTAAATTCAGCGGGTCGCCACGTCTGATCTGAGGTCACATCTCAGAGGGGAGTGCCGGGATGGGTGGCGAACGGCCAGCTGGGCAGGCACAGAGGTGCATGAGCTGGGAACACGTGCATGCGTGTGCCAACAGGACGGTGGCTTGGGAGTGAGGAAGTGAGGCGTGGGTGGGGGAAAGCAGGGAGCCCCGATGGGACCCCCCCCCGTGGCCCTGGCCGAGCCCCACACCAGTCCCTGAAGCCGAGCCCAGGAACATGCACAATGGAACACACAGGGACACAAACCACTCCAGCCCTTCACCAGCCACACTGACACACCTCCGCCCCGGATGCCCAACTGGGCCCAGCAAGGCGAGCAGAGAGAGGACGGCACACACCCTCACGGGGAGAGGGGGGCCAACGCACCACCTCACATGGCTCCACCGCTGCCCTGCTCTCTGTGACCTTCCCTGACACCGAAACGCCCGTGGTACACACGTCCACACCACCCCACCACCCGCACACGACTGGTGCAGAGACATGGTGGGGAGGGAGAGAGACGGCAGGGGCAAAATATGGGGGACGGAGGAGGGGGCAGACCAATGCGGGGTATGGGCTGGCGGCTGCAGGTGTGGGGGGGGAGCAAGCACCCTGACGGGAAACAAAGGGGGCTGACCAGCCGACCAACAGCACACGCCCAGGGGCGAGCAGCCGCCAGACGATGGAGAGGCCCCCACACCCCCGCCAAGAGGCCCCCACCGCACTGGGGGCTTGGGGCACATGGCACCATGCAGCCAAGGCTGTCGGGGGATGGCGCACGATGGCAGACACCACGGCATCCCTCGGGTTGCTGCTGGGGCACACGTTGCCCCAGGTGCAGCCATGCGCATGACCGGACCATGGCACAAGCTGGCCTCAGGAGCCTGGCTGCCTGGAATTGGGATGCTCCAGTGCCCACAAACACTGTCGCGGAGTGGGGAGATGTGGGTGGGAGGAGGAGGG